CTACAATCTCCCTAAATGTATACCTGTCTATCTGCCAGAAATGGATTTAATGAATGGAAACACAAGCTGATAGAAGATACATCTTCACAAGCACTTGGCTCTGATACTTGCAAGGAATGTCTAAACCCAAGGGGCAAGAACTGTTCTGAGATAGTAAACAAAGTGATCCCACTGAAACAACAGCAAGACATATGAATGGTAAGGGGGGAAAGTTCTGAAATTCCTGTTTTAGAATTCTACAGAATTGAAATTGTTAGGAGGGGGCATATGCAAATTTCTGTTTGAAATTAGCAGTTCTCTATGGCCTGCGACGGGAACAAGAAAGGCTCATAGGCACTTGATGCTTAATCCAAGAAGATGCACAAACATCCTATCCTCAATCTATAACCTACCACCCAAAGAACTGTATGCAAGTTCTTTCAGCCATTTGAAAATTTTCCCACTGCAGAAACAGATAATCCAACCAATTAGACTGCACTTGACCTCGTTCATGTGTTTTTATAAACTATGGTATGTTGATTTAGCCACATCTTGCTGAGTTCCTCATGTCATGGACCAAGACTTATAAAGTGCAACTCCAAAATAAACATCTTAGAATAACGTGAAGCTAAGTGAATGGATTTCCATTGATTGTACTCAATATGTGTGGTGCTTTTCTAACTTCAAGCAGGTAAAAATCCAAAATTACAAAATATGTAATTTCTTAAATTACATATTTTGGGGCAGAAAATAATGGCACATACTCTGACCCGAACCATGAGAAAGGTCATAAATTAACCACAAGTGAAGAAACTTACAGTTAATTTATCTAAGAGCTTGAGAATCACTGGGGCAGTGGTGGTTAAAAAAAAGTAGTTTAATAAGGAAAAAACAATTGCAAGAAGAATTGAAACATTCATTGGAAGGTCATAATAACCTCCTCAACCTGGTACTCCACGGATGCATCAGAAGCATAACTCCTATCATTTTCCTGTGACTGGGAATTTAAAAAAGCTGCCATATCAGGAGTTTACTAAACTTGGGAAGGTTAAAGGTAAAGGTTCCCCTTGCACATATGTGCTAGTCGTTCCTGATTCTAGGGGGGGGGAGTGTATGCTCATCTCCGTTTCAAAGCCAAAGAGCCAGCACTGTCCGAAGACGTCTCCGTGGTCATGTGGCCGGCATGACTAAACACTAAAGGTGCACAGAATGCTGTTACCTTCCCACCAAAGGTAGTCCCTATTTTTCTACTTGTATTTTTTATGTGCTTTTGAACTGCTAGGTTGGCAGAAGCTGGGACAAGTAACGGGAGTTCACCTCATTACGCGGCACTAGGGATTCGAACCGCTGAACTGCCGAACTATTCGATTGACAAGCTCAGCATCTTAGCCATTAAGCCACCACGTCCCTGGGAAGGTTATCCAATGGGAAACAACGGAGAAGACCTTATTCTGCTGTAAGAGGCATGGACATTTCTTCTCTAAAGCAAAAGAAAATATCATATCTCAATTTCACTCAGGGGTTAGCAAAATGCAATTCCCTGTATTATAAAAACATTTCATTCAAGCCAACTTTATAGTGGATTAAAAAAAAATGCTCGGGAAGCAACATGGTGGTATGACTAAGCTTCATCATATCCGTGTCCTGTCCTTTCAGAGCACAAGATGATGAATATTCATACGAAAAATAGAATCGTACAAACGTCAATAATTTTCATGGTAAGGAATTGCTCTAAAATTTCCTAGTACAACTGAAATCCAGGAAGTTCTTTGCAAGCAAGGCAGTGAAAGGAGGAGGGAGGGAACGAGGCTGCTATTGCAAGAAAAGTTAATCAACAAAGGTCTGAGGATTCTCTTTAAAAATTGAGGGTTTTTTTTCTGAGAAATAAAGCATCGGGGAATTGCATTCTGATTGCCGCATCAACTGTCTTTGCTTCAAGCAGACAGTTCTCCTTCCCTTTCGCCATCAGTCCCTGTTGTTCTTTGTTCTATTTTTTTTCTTCCCCTTAAAAACATGTTTCCATCTAGTCTTGGAAATTCCAGCACTTTTGGGTTCCCAGACAGTCTTTCCCTTTTGGGGATCTCTTTACCAACAGCCCACCAAACTTGGTAAAAGGATTAGCATTCTTTACCGTTTCATGCAAGGAAACAGAAACACCACGAGAATTTTCAAGACTTCCTTTGTGCTCTTCAGCAATTGTTTAGCTAATCCCAAAGGATACTTTTCATTACTGCCAAGTGGTACTCTGTGTGTATGTGTGTGCGTGCCCACGCGCACACACTTTAATTTGCCAGAGATGGAGCCCAGAAATTGTTGGCCACTGCTGTAAGAGCTTCTCACCCATTTTCCTGGAAATAATTTAAGTGCAACCTAAAAGGACAAACACATTTTTGTCCACCATAACTCATGCCCACAATATGGAGCCCATCAAATAATAGGCATATCAAATGACAAATTACTTCACCGTATTAAAGATAGACAGATTTCTCCAATTAACTTGCCAGCATATATTTACAGGATTAGTGTCAGAAAAAGTCACTTTGAGCTTATGAGGTGTACTGCGTTTAACTCTTTTCTTAGCAGAATAGCAACAGCTAAAAGTAAGCGCTGAGAAATCGAAGTGCGTAATTTGTCTTGACTAAAAGCCCATTAAGTGGCCTGAGATACGTCATGATTTCCCAGCCTTATTTCTGCCTCTCTCCCTGGAGCCCTGGCACAGAAGGTTATAATAAATATCACTGACGCTATTGTTATAAAGCACCTAAGACAACTGAAATGTAATATGCAGCTTTCCAATGTTATTTATTATCTTAATTTTGCCATTTGCCCAACCCAATGAAGGCCTTCTGCATCTGGAAATCTTTCCGGGAAAGACAGTTCAATTGGAGAAGCTCATTGTCATTTGGTCCCCCTCCCCTCCAGCCCTCGCCCTATAATGCGTCTTTCACACAGTCTCCCTTTTTACACAAACACACCCATTCCTGTTAGTCAGACGCAACATTCTCATGCTTTCAAAGTGTTGCTCGCACGCCCATCATTTGTAGAGTGCCAGCCCTTGAGGTGACAAAACGGCATTTGAAGTCCCTTTTTCTTCCACTCTGAAAACCATCACGATGATTTACTTACTGCCTCCTCTCTCAATCACTCAGTCAGCAAAAGCCTCTCCTTAGGGCTTGGCAAAAGAAAAGGGAAAGCCGCGAAATAGACAAGGCTGCAACATATGCAATATAAAGTGGCTTTAAGATGAGGCCAGAGTAATATTGGCCAAATAAAATCAGTGTCAAGGGGTGTCTTTTTCCAGAAGCCCCTCTCTCAGGGCAATCGTACAGTCCTCCTAATAAAACCATCCATCCCCCAGATTTAATGTCCATAGAAAAGTGCCACGCATACTGAAAGAAATGCCTTGTTCCTTTCCAATCACTGTTTGAATGAGGCGTTGTAAGAAAATTGGAGGCTCGAGAATTTGCTTTCTTTTGGCCTTGCCTCTCCAAAGCTCTCCACAAATGCATGCACCATTGGCTCTCTGTTATAATTTCTCAGATACATTTTCTTTGAGCTGCCTCAGGATTGTGAAACATTATTCTTAATTTAAAATTTGGAGAAAAGTGAGAAGCAGTGCGGAAAACTCAGGTTTTGACAGAAAAGATTTATTTGCCCAAATGCACAAGCAGATTCTTAGAAGTGATTTTCGTTTCATAGAAACAAAGAAAACTGACAGAAGAAAAAGACCTAGTGGTCCATTGAGTCTGCCCTTTGAGTTATTTTTTTTTTAATTTTTGTTGTATGATGGGCATGTGTTTATCCCAAGCATGTTTAAACTCAAGTTACTGATGATTGACCCTCTACCTCTACTGGCAGTTGATTCCAAGCTTCCAATACCCTTTCTGGGAAGGAATACTTTTTAACATTACTTTTAAACTTTCCCCCTGTCAGCTTATGCCCAGTTGTTCTTGATTTTCACTTAATGTTGAAAATATTGCCTTCTAGAACCTTATTCATCTTTATATTTAAAGGTTTCAACCATGTTCCCCCTTTCCCTTCTGTCCTTCAGTCTGTACCTATTCAGTTTCTCCAATCTCTCCTGATAAATTTGTCCCTCAGACCTTGTACCATTTTTGTTGCTCGATCTTATTAATATATTTTTTTTCAAGTGAGGTCTCCAGAACTAGGCACAGTATTCCAAATACTTCCACATACTTCCAAATATATTTCACTTCCCAGTGAGGCCTACCACTCCTGGATTTCCTGACTGCTTCTGAATTCTTACACTAGAGAAAAGAGGGGTTGGAGAGATGAAGAGAGGAACGAACTAGATGTAATGAAAGCAGCAAAATATTCTGCCCAGATGTTTGCATAGACGGGAAGAGCTGGAGATCAAATGCATACAATTAAATGAGTAACCAGCTGGCAAGAGAGAGAGTTTTCTTTCTCATCCATCTCATTTTTGTGGATTTTTCCCCCCTACTGCTCCTATACTAGAAAAAGCAGCCACAGACATTCACAGGTATGCACCACCACTCAAATCCCTCCCAACTATTATGGGATAGAGGCAGGAATATGCAAAGTACATTTCAAAGAAAAAAAATTGCAAAGGAGCTATAATGACATATTTCATATTAGGGTGGTAGACATCCTAATTTTATTACAAGGAAGCTCCATTGATTTTCATGGGGACAATGCACAAGCTGTTCAGGATTATTTCAAGGGCAAAGTAACAGTAAAAGGGTGGGAAGTGATTTACTGGAAGTTACTGCCAGAACTTTGTATGCGTCCTCCCCCAAAAAGATTTTATTGCAAGAGTGAAACAAAGATTTTCCTGCTTAAAATTTGGCTTGCAGGCATTTGGATAGAAGTTTGAATACAGCCCTGATTCCATTCTAAAGCTTTTTCCAGCTTGGAAAAATGCCAGCTGGGGAATTCTGGGAGTTGAAGTCCAAACATCTTCCAAAAGCTGCCACTGTTCTAGATCATGAACATGAATCTCTGCAAAATGCGTCATGTTCCTTTTTTGGTTCACTTACCTGAGGCAAATTTCCCAAATTTCAGGACTTTTGTCAACACTTGCAGTACATCCTTGATGCTGCTGTCCTGGCTAAACGATAGCAAGCGTTTGGCATCATTGAACAATCGGTAAACACTGAAGAAATGAGGGCAAGGGCAAAGAAACAAAAAGAGAAAAAAATATTAGTCATCATGAGAGAGACAGCTTCAAATATCCCCCAAATGGATCCTAAAATATTTCTTTATCCACGTTTACTTTGTGTCTGACATTATTGGGCGCTATTCTGCTAAGTCAACATGATCATATTCCCATAAGCACTTGTTTATAAATTGCTTCTATGTGTTGTTTCTGAGCACATGGAAACATCTATTAATTGAATTGGTTTGGTTTGGTTTGCAAAGCAAACAAGGAGAAGATATGATTGGCTAGTTGGTGGTTCAGCTTGTCATGCAAACACAGCCATTCCCTGTTTCTTAAGAGGAGAAAGGCAACATGTCTTATCTCCAGGATCACCAATGAAGTAGAGTAGAGGGAATAGCCTTCCTGAAGCCACAAGCAAGAATTTACAGGATGAGTATCAGGGAAGAAAGACTTCTTTGAAGTCTTTCTGATTAAGCAATGGTCTCTGCATGTCCACCTGGATTATGGGATAGAGAATATGGAAGATAACCTTGTTGGAAATGTACAGGAAGCATCACTTAAGCACAAGGGGGCTGAAGCATTTCTTAGAACAATGAGGTAACATTCAGACATGACTCAGACAGACAAGCTTCCTAATTCACTTCAGTACAGACTTGCAAAATTATACTAGTCAATCTCAATAAAGGCAGTTCTGTAGCATTAATTAATTTGGGTCCCACCTTTATTATTTTTACAAAGAATTCACGGCGGCGGGCATATTCTACACACCTTCTTCCTCCTGTTTTCCCCACAGCAACCACCCTGCAAAATGGGTTGGACTGAAAGAGAATAACTGGCCCAAAGTCACTGGCTTTCACAGCTAAGGTGGGATTCAAACTCATGGTTTTCTACTTTCTAGCCAGGTGCCTTAAACACTAAATCAAACTAACACTGTTTCCTGATCCGGCCTACCTAGAGGGCCTAACAAACAATAAACAGCTATCTCTCCCTATGCAAAGGATAATATCAGCCCCAAAATTTCTTGGTAGCCCTCAGCAGTAGAAAGCAAAGGATGTTCTAAGTAACTTGCTTTCTTTTGGCATAGATAATTTGGCTTGCATTACATTTTCCTTATTTATAATATTCACTCTACCCCCAATAACCTCCCCCTTTTTGCTCCTCATTTGTGCTAAAGGATAAAGGCTTCCCTTGAGTACAGCAAAGAACAGCCTGTACCGGTGATAAGACATTGTTGTTCTGTCTTCTTCACATTGGCAGGCCAAAGTTTAATAAATAGCAAATACTCACATAGAATCGTTAAAATTGCCAACAATGCGGGGGGTCTCCCCAGGTGTCGGAGAACGAAAGCAAGGATTGTTGGCATTACAGATAATCCCCTGGACCCAGGGTAATGTTCCAGCCGAAGGCATGGCCTTGTTTGGAAAATGACCTAAAAATATGAGGATAAATATTTAGGACATTGCATGACATCATCCTTAAAACTCCTCTGTCCTGAGGTTATGCCTCCCCCACCCAAACAGTCTTCAAACACATATGATACACGGCAACAAGAAACAAAGGCTTATAACCAGGGGTGAAATGCTCCCGGTTCGGACTGGATCACCCGATCCGGTAGCGATGGCGGCGGGTGGTTCAGAGAATCGGTAGCAAAAATCCCTGCACACACCCCTCCCCACCACGCCAGCTGAGCCGCACGATCATCAGAGGCTTTTTTTTAACTTTTAAAAGCATTTAAAAAGTTGCTAAGTTAGAAACATGGTGGTTAACTAAATCTGGCTTTCCTATGGACTTTGCTTGTCAGAAGGTCACAAAAAAATGATCACATGACCCCAGGGACACAGCAATGGTTATAAATATGAATCGATTGCCCAGCATCTGAATTTTGGCCACATGATCAGGGAGATACTGCAAAGGTTGTAACAGTGAAAAATGGTCATAAGCCACTTTTTTCAATGCCATTACGACTTTGAACAATCACTAAACGAACTATTGCAAGTTAAGGACTACCAGTATATCCCACTTTTCCTGCACGTGATCAAGGCAGCACACACAGATTTTCTTTCCCAAATATTTTTCTCTAGAACAACAATCACTATGTTAGATAGGGTAGGAGAAGTGATTGGCCCAGTCACCCGGTGAATTTACCTCAGTGAATCAACCAATCAAATCTTTATTAGGGTTATAAATCAGCATAACAGCCATGGTGGTGCAGTGATTAGAATGCAGTACTTCAGGCTACTTCTGCTGACTGCCAGTTGACTGCAGTTCGGCAGTTCGATTCTGACCGGCTCAAGATTGACTCAGCGTTCCATCTTTCCGAGGTCGGTAAAATGAGAACCCAGACTGTTTGGGGCAATATGCTGACTCTGTAATCCGCTTAGAGAGGGCTGTAAAGCACTGTGAAGCGGTATATAAGTCTAAGTGCTATTGCTATAAGAAGGGTGGGAAACAAAAAATTAGTAATTTTAAAAGTGAAAGACCATATAAAATACATATGTTTAGAATATATATTTATATATATATATATATATATATATTCTAAGAATATATTCTATATATTTTATATATATTCTATTTCCCTGAAAATAAGACATCCCCTGAAAATAAGCCCAATCGGGCTTTTGAGCACATGCGCTAAAATAAGCCCCCCCAAAAAACCCCGCCCAAAAATATTTAAACGCATACACAGTCAGTCCCGCCATTTCCTGAGGTTAGAGTTAGGGAGACAGAGCTGGAAATCAGGTAAGACTGCAAGAGGAGCCCCGTCTTGCTCCATATGCCCCAAAATAATAAGACCTCGCCAAAAATAAGTATATACTGTATATAAAGCAGTAAAAACACTGATTATTTTGTTTAGCTTTTTAAATTACCAATTGTTTGTATTCCCTCCTTCTTATGCTGGTCAATGACCATAAAGAGATTTGACTGATAGTGAGTTTCCATGCTCAAGGATGAAATTCAGCCTAGTTTTTTCTGGCTTTAGTTGGACATCTTAACTGACTTACTACTGTATATTAATATTAAAAGCTATGAAAGAGAGATTTCATCAGGTCTAGTCATCTCTGTTGAAATCCCTTCTCTATAACCAGCCAATGAAGTTTGAATTATTATGGAGAAATATACCACAGGGTTGCTATTTTTTGAAAAAGGAAATCCTGTTTGAGTAGAGCTAACTAGGAACACATTGAACAAGTTTCTGTGTTTCAGGAACTGATCCCATTCTCAAACTTCCTTCAGCTGTCCTGAAAAAACTTGTTAGTTTGATGTGAGCTAAGTGCATTCTTGCCCAACAAATTATGAGCACTTTTAGCCTCTGATACACAATGCAGCTTATTACTGAACATAGAGTAGCATTCTTTCTTTTTATATATATCAACCCAGCAATCATGTATGTTTCTATGTGAAACATAGAAATACACATGATTGTATGGTCATCTATGTCAGGAAATAAATCCTGTTGAAGTCCATTAGGTTTACTTCATAGTATGTATCAGGGGTGAAATGCTCCCGTAGGAATGGAGGCGGGTGGTTCGGAGAACCGGTAGCAAAAATCCCTGCCCCCCCGCCCCATGCCCAGCTGAGCCGCACAATCATCAGAGGCTTTTTTTTTTTTTACTTTTAAAAGCATTTTTTCTACAATCTCTTCGGCCAAAGGGTTTTTTTCTTTTAAATGCCTCTGACGATCCCAGCCAGGTTGCCTGATCGGCAGAGGCTTTTTGAAAAAGCCTCTGCCAATCAGGCAACTCGGCTGGGATTGTCAGAGCCTTTTGAAAGCATTTTTCGCTGAAGAGGTTGTAGAAAAAATGGTTTTAAACGTTTAAAAAAAAATTGGCCACACCCACCTAGTCACATTACCCCCCACCACCAAGCCACGCCCACAGAACCAGTAGTAACGAATTTTAGATCTCACCACTGGTATGTATATACAAGAGTTTAAGAAGGCCAATTAAATATCCCACATTGTTGTATGCCTAGGATTTCTCTGTTGTGTAAGACTAATTTGTTATTTGCCAACAGTTTTTATTAATAAAAACATCCATCAAAATAGCTACAGGTAATAACACAGCTCTGTTGTTTAAATAATATGTGAAGGTGTGAAAGAAATCATTTTAAAGCAGTGGTTCAGAAAGTGTGGTCTGAAGACTCCTGGGAATCTCTGAGACCCTTTCAGGGGGTCTGCAAAGACAAATATTTTAAAATTTCTCAGTTTTAATTTCTAATGTAGTCGATATTGATAGATATAACCCATATAAACCAAAGCTCTTTGAAGTCTTCAATGCTTTTTAAGAATGTAAAGAGGCCCTGAGACCAAAATGTTTGAGAACCACTCCTGTAAGGAATCATCGTAGGGTTAGGATTGTACTACTAAACACAAGGCTCTAAGGAAACCTTCAGGGTTATGTTAGCAAGAGTTTTTATAATCTTAATAGTGGTCAAGCCAGAGCAACTTTAGCAATGGCATTTGTTGACATCAGAAATGAATTGCAATAAAAACTCTGATTTGAGCTGTTATGGCCATATGCAAATCTGAAGAACCATGCTATCTGTCTGAAGATCAAGTACAGACTGCTCTGATGGCCCAAACCTTTGTCAGGCCTGTTATCTTCCATCTTTCTAGGCCAGAAATAGTCCTTATGCAATCTGCCTCTCACTTACTCCTCCTTCACCAAAGCTGAAGAACTCAGGCATTTTTAAAACTTACATTCATGTTGTTCATAAGGTGGATAAGACACTCTCACAGACATCAGAATAAAGAAGATAAACAATGGCCAAGTGATTTCGATCAGTAGTTGGACCTGGAAGAGAAGAGGAGAAACAGCAGATTACTAAGTATCCATACTTGGTATGATCAATTTCATTTTAAATTGTATTTTATCCAATTCCATTTTAAATTGTTTTTATCGGATTTTAGTAATAATTTGTGTCTGGAACTCTGCACTTTGATATGTGAATCAATAAAGTAAACTAAACTAACTAACATACTTGGTATGATGAAGCAAATGAAAACAAAAGTAGACATAGGTATGATTTTTTTAAAAAAAACTTCTATGAACAAAAGATTGCTCTTTGGTGTAGCTTTTCCCAATTCAGTGCCTTCCTGATGCGCTTGGACCAATTGGACTACAGGTAGTCCTCGATTTATGACCACAATTGAGCCCAAAATGTAAGTTGCTAAGTGAATTTTGCCCCATTTTATGACTTTTCTTGCCATTGTTGTTAAGTGAATCATTTCAATTGTTAAATTAGTAACACGGTTGTTAAGTGAACCTGACTTCCCCATTGATTTTGCTTGTCAGAAGGTCACAAAAGCAGATCACATGACCCAGGGACATTGCAGTGGTCATAAATATGAACCAGCTGCCAAGCATCTGAATTTTGAACATGTGACCATAGGGACACTTCAATGGTCATAAGTGTGAAAAATGGCCATACGTCACTTTTTTAAGTGCCGTGGTAATGTTGATCGGTCATTAAATGAACTGTTGTAAGTCGAGGACTACCTGTATTAATTCATGAAGCAATAATTTTACCGCATTCCTGTCTACTAAACAAGGAATGGGATGAGATGGAGGAAGGTTTGTTTCCAGCCCATACCCATTATTCATTCATATTTTCCCTCTTAAGTTGAACTTTCATATGCAATTTCCCCCAAAATGTAAATATATACTGAAGTTTAATGCCTGTAAGATACCTTATGTAAATTTTCTCAATGCAGCCTTTATTTTTCATAAGTTTCCCAAATGTCAGGGGATTTTTCACCTTATGCACTTATTATATAACGAAAAATCAAACAACCAGCACATGCTATTTTGTTTCCAACTCTGAATAGTGTTTGATCTTTTGTAGGCAGGTTTCAATATTATCTGTTATTTTTCAGACCCTTCTTTGCAAACATTTTTCTCCTTTTGTGCAGGTGTCTTACTGGAGTCTATTTTCAAAAATAATTTTTGAGTCCTTTGTAAATATGCATATATTTACATGTATTTATAACATATACACACAAAACTTTAGCTATCATTCTGGAAAGAATAGTCAGTTATTATAGTTGTAATCCAGCTATCTCAAAATGGACAGGCTAGGTAAGGCTGGTCTAGACTCAGTTACCTCGCAACAATACAAGGAAATTAAATTATCCAGGCTGTGAATCAAATGTATTAATGAACCTTTGGAATGCCAATCCTCTCCGTGTGACATTTATTTATTTTATTTATTTTATTAAATTTGTATACTGCCTTTCTCCTACTGGACTCAGGGCGGTGCACAGCCAAAATAAAAAACATCCCAATACAAAATTTAAAATTTATTAAAAGAATTACACACTTTGGCCCAAAATTTAAAACATCCCAACTAAAACCCATAGACAATTAAAATCTAACATCTCAAAAAAAAAAGGGGGGGGGTGAGGTTTACGCCAGCCCTGCTTGATGGAAAAGAAAAGTTTTTAGGGCACGGCGAAAAGCCCGGAGATCTGGTATCATGCCTATCTCCGGGGACAAATTGTTCCAGAGGGCAGGTGCTGCCACAGAGAAGGCCCTCCCCCTGGGGGTCGCCAGCCGACACTGCCTGGCTGATGGCACCCTGAGGAGTCCCTGTCATTATGCCGTGACATAATGGAATGTAAACATATCTGATTTCTGTATATGCCAAATGATTATTCCAAATGGAAAATTTATATATAAATGCACTGGAGGAAACTTTTGCAGCAGCCCTTCCATAATCCTCCACCTACTTATGTAATTTCTGATGTTTTTCCTTCAGAAAATGTTTTCAAAGATTCAGAATGCTAAATCAACTATTTTCATGCAAAGTAAATTCTTCATCAGATCAGCCACACACACTGACTATCCATGGTGGGCATGTTGGTGAAAGAACTGTGTTGTTCAATGTTTATGTAGACTAGAGCATGAAGATGAGGATCTAAAATTAGATAATTGACATTTAGCATAGATCCAAGCTCTGACGATGTTACAGTAAGTCAGCAAAATCTAAACTGTAAACAAATCTCATCCTGAAACATTACATTCATTGGTGCAAAATCTTTTGCCAATCATGTATCCCAGATGATGTAGAAATCGTGGAACTTAATCCACTTTTCACAACTGGGGATCAGCAGTCTTTGCTTCTACAATTAGTACAGTACTGTCTTGCAAGGCAAATTGGCCAATTTGTAATCAAATTGAGGAAATTCTTCTCAAAATATCTTCAGATATTGGGCCCATATCCAGATCCAAATTCATTACGGCAACCACCCAATCTACTGTTGTTAAACAAGGGTATAGAAAAATCTTAACATTGTTAGCATTGAGATTTTTGAAAGTGTTATTAAAAGAAACCCCAACGAGCTGAAACAACATAAAAATTAAGTGCAGGGCAAGTAGAATTCTCCAAAACTAGTCAATAAAAATAAAGATGCTTAGAGTCAATGGTATTTGAAATTAAGATGGGAAAACAAAGAAGCCAGAAGAGAATAAAGGAAAGAAAATTGAGCAGCTAATATCCTAAATAAAGGGTACTCCACATTCCAATATTCTGTTTAATGTAATATTTATTTAATAGAATGTTAGTAAGTCTTATTATTCCAAAATCAACTACCAATGCAGCAATGTGATATGAATTTCTTATTAAAGAGATGTTTGAACATGATTTTCCTATCAGAATCTCTCAAGTAAACAGCTTGGCCTGCATTTCCTTCCCTGTCACTTCTTCAAACTATGGTGGCTGAAGGAAGCAGTATGAAAGGCACATACCGAGCTTAGCTTGACGTGTGCAGCTCAAGAGTTACATCCGCACTGCTGGAAGGCATCCAGGACCAATTAGGTTCTGGCCAAATCCTCCGGGGAGAAAGCAGCTTCAAAAACATTAAGCAAATAGGCCTGTACAGTATACTTCACTGTAATCTAACATCATTTCTTACTCATTTATCAGTTCAAAACTGGAGAGCTCTCTAAGAAGCTGATTACTGTTGTGGGAAACTTAAGTATCAAAGTATGGCCTACCATCTATCTTCAGAGAGGTTTTTGATGGACTAAAGCCATGGGCAAAACTGCTGACTCCAACCTGCAGCAATATATGGAGGCCATCCATATATATTTTTGCAGGGCAGAATGAATGGGATAAATGTAGGTGAACTTTCTCTAAGCCTTCATCTTCCTAATGTTGTGTGTGTGTGTGTGTGTATGTGTATATATATGTATGTATGTATGTATATATATTTGTTTATGTAAGTTTTCACGGGTATGTATGTGTGTATAGTTAATATTTCGGGTTTCTTCCCGTGTAATTGTGGATATATCCCTAAAAGGGTAGAAGCGACGTTTCGACAGAATCCCATCTGCCATCATCAGGCTTATGTCAGCAGTCTTTTACAGTAACTGCCGTTGCTATTTCAAATCTTTGAAATATTTGAAATAGCAACGGCAGTTACTGCAAAAGACTGCTGACATAAGCCTGATGATGGCAGATGGGATTCTGTCGAAACGTCGCTTCTACCTTTTAGGGATATATCCACAATTACACGGGAAGAAACCCAAAATATTAACTATACATACATACATACATACATACATACATACATACATACATACATATTTCAATTAGTGGGTCCACTGGATTTTGGAGGCTCTGACATCCTTCATTCATTATATTATATACCCAATTCTATGTCCCTTACATAAATATTTGGCACAAACCACAATAGGGTGAGAATAATGTCAGGTCAGCTGGGCTCTCATATTTGAATTCCAGTGCTGCACCCAAGTATGCAAGCCATATAGTTTTCATCATGACACAGTGATACCTACTTTGTTATTTGACCCATCCCGGCCCTGTCCCTCTTGCTGCAGATACCCACGATCCCTAAAAACTTGGCTCACTGTGCAGATTGACAGTTCAAATTATTTGTGCTCTTGTTAGCAGAATAAGGAACAGAGACAAAAGACCTACAGTGGACTTAATCCAAGCACTAATCAGCATTATGCCCCTCCAGCTATGTTGGACTACAGTACCCATATAATCCTATACAGCTGTAGTTGGGAAGCTTGATGAATTTACTATCTTTCTGCCCAAACTAAAATCAAACTAATATAGTGCCAAAGAGTTTCATCTAGTGGTTAAGGCTAGAAAGTGGAAAACTGTGAATTCCCACCGTAGCCATGAAAACCAGATGGGTGACTTTGGGCCAGTTACTCTCTATTTCTCAGCTCAACCTACCTCCAGGGGTGAAATTCAGCAGGTTCTGACAGGTTCTGAAGAACCGGTAGTGGAAATTTTGAGTAGTTCGGAGAACCAGCAAATATCACTTCTGGCTGGTCCAAGAGTGGGGTGGGAATGGAGATTTTGCAGTATCCTTTCCCTGCCACCCCCACCAAGCCATGCCCATCAAGCCATGCCCACAGAACTGGTAGTAAAAAAAATTGAATTCCACCACTGCCTACCTCACTGGAAAAAAATAGGAGGTATGTTTGCTGCATGGAGTTATTTGTAAAAATAATAAAAGTGGGATACAAATGAATAATAAACATAAATAATTAGAATAACTAAAGTATAAAACCAACATATAAAAACAAATATGATGCAAGAGAATAATCAGAAATAATGACAAAAATCACAAAATAAAAACTGTGTTTAAAATGTATATGATGTACCCCCAAAATTGCCCAATTTCTGACATGCACCTAATACTTCTTTAAGACAAAAGAACTCAAGTACATTGCATTCACTCAGTAGAGTGTTTGATTCACTCTAAAATTATGTATAAGAAAAGGAAGAGAGAAAGTTTATCCTTTGCCATGCTGAATAATACTACTGTAATGAGTTGAAAAGCAATGAGAAATTAAATTATGGATATGATCTATTTGGATCATTGCCTGTCTTGCAACCCTTGCAGTGATTTGACTAATAAGAGAGTCAGATTGTAAATTCTTTTCATCTCATTTACTTTCATAAGATTCAGATAAAGGCTGCCTCATGGGTTGGCTTTGTCAGTATGTCTTAACTTATATCTGCTCCTCTTTCTGACTGTTGGTATGTGGTCATCAATATGTCATTGCTGACATCATTGCTGACATATTGACCCTTTAATTAAAAAAGATGTGTCATCTTTGCTCTACCTTGATGGCCCATCTGATGACCTCACTGCTTTCGGGGAAGAAAGAAGGCCATTTTAAAGTTGGGGGAAGAGAAGGATGTCACTGAAACAGTATCCAACAGTGTTCCAGAAACGGTATGGAATGGATGCTATGTAAGATCACCAGAAGGACTTTAGCTCCCAGAGCTAAAAAATCTTTCCTCATAACATAGTCCAAGAAGCCACTGTTACTAATAGAGTCTATGGGATAAAATTGCCAAGTACGTCACTACTAAATTATTAGGTCTGTGGAGTGTCCAAAGGCACACGCTGTAAATGGGAAATTAAAGAGCACAGTATCACCGTCGTTATTTTCATGTCTAGTCTTATAAGAACCTGGGGAAACGAATCAGAAAGGACCTGTCAGAAAAGACTCAAGAACAACTAAGTGTGGATAATTGCTTTGACCTAGCTATGTTCCTGTCAACACCACTATTCAGATTTGCATTGGAAGACTTCCTGTACTATTCTGAAGAGTATCAAAAAGGTAGTGTTAAGTATTTACCCTATTAAGTCCACTCTGTTTTCTAAACTGTACTAGCATATTGGAATCTAAAGTAGTTGCAATGCAGATTTTATTCATCCTCTTTTATTACAGTAACTTTATTGCTTTATTACAGCAATTCTAGCAGTAATTTAAACAGAGGTGTTCAATACCTCCCATTGCTATGGCTATGGGAGTTATTGAACACCTCTGTTTAAATTACTGCTAGAATTGCTGTAATAAAGTCATACCCTGCTTAAGCCAGACTTCCTCATTCTAATGACCTCTATATCTATAGATATAGATCTATAGATCTATAGTTTGCACCATAGTTTCTAATCGATTCAAGCAGTGGAATTCACAAAGCTGTAATTAACACAAAGCAGAAGATTGGGGTTATTGATGTAATAATTCCTCTGCTTTTTCCAGGCTTAGCCTATGCAGGTTTCACAATGTGTAAGCTAAGCAGTATGGCACATCTATTGTATTACCTGAGCCGTAGTTACAATACAGTATTGCAGGCTAACTCTGCCCACAGCCTCGAGTTCGATCCTGACCAGTTCAAGGTTGACTCAACCTTCCATCCTTCTGAGGTTGGTAAAATCAGGACTCGGATTGTTGGGGGCAATCTTCTGACTCTGGAAACCGCTTTATAGAATGGTATATAAATCAAAGTGCTATTGCTGTACTGCCATTGCTATTACTACTTGTGACTATGCCTCCATTTTTACCCTAAAGCATTCATGGAGAAATAGCAAACTTATGTATGGGCTTACCTTTTCTTTTGCTAGACTGATCAGAGCAAAAATGATTTCCAACAGCTGAACTCTTAAAACAGTTTTTCTAGATGTTGAACTAAGAACAAGTCTAGTTTCTCCGTGCCCTGCCCGTCTTGCCTCCTATCTGCTTTTACTGAAAGTAAAAGATAACTGCAGCTTCTTGTCTTAACATCCAACACACAATTTATTTCTTTGAAGAACTTATTGGCTCAGCTCCTTTCTATAAACCCTCTAATCCACATCATAAAATATAACCAGATCAAAGGGAGTCTTACATATTTGTGCCCAAATGTTGTATTGATAGAGTGAAATATGATTGTCCCAGTTATGGAATTCTTAAAACACAGAGTTGGCTCTTTTATCAAAACAAAGCAATGGTGTGATCTTACCGTTTGCCTTCTCCTATAAGTGAAATTCTTCCATAGGAGCAAACCCAGCTGTGTCCAGAATGCCATCTTCCCTCCGTACACTCCAGGAGCACCTCTGATGGCAACAGCACACAGCAGAAACTCTGTGGCTGCTCATCAACTAGAAAGAACAGAAAAGAGATTAACAGCCTCAAAAAAAAACCAAAAATCCTTTTAAATAGCAACCTGTCCTCCCTGATGCTTCAACTGTTGGTTCCCCTTTTTTACCCCTCTTCATTCTACGAAAAGCAGGATTGTCCTCCAATGCTTTTCTCAAACATCTCCTTGTGGCAGTACCATCACTGATGTTTTTCCTTTACATAACCAATAATGTGCTTGCCTCCCACCCTCAAGATGGAGGAAAAAATGGGAAAACATTGCTGTCTCCGCAAACCTTTTGCTTGTTTCAAAAGCAAAGGGAGCTGACCTTTGGTGGCACAACGGTTAGAATGCAGTATTGCAGGCTAACTCTGTCCATAGCCAGGAATTCAGTCCTGATCGTCTCAAGATTGACTCAGTTGGTAAAATGAGGACCCAGATTGTTGGGGCCAATAGGCTGACTCTGTAGACCTGTAGACCACCCAGAGAGTGCTGTATAGCAGGGGTCTCCAACCTTGGCAACACCCAGAGAACTCTGGGAGTTGAAACCCACAAGTCTTAAAGTTGCCAAGATTGGAAACCCCTGCTGTATAGCACTAGGGAGCAGTCTATAAGTCTAAGCGTTACTGCTATTGCTGTTGTTTTCAGTGACTCTCAATTAGTTGATAACTGCATCCCTCCATTATATGCAAAAGGCAAACAGAGTCTCTTTCTTCTCTTTTCAAACACAGCCTGTGAAACCAAAAGTCACCCTCGTCTTTCTGTCACAAGAGACTGCAATTTCGTAAATGCCTCTTCCTACAATTATTATATAGCTGATAATGAGCTGCCCTTTCCAAACAAGGAGTCAACTCTCTCTAGCTAATTGTTGAGCCAGCCTGCTCCCAGTTATTTGCGCTCCCCATTTTCTTTCTCCTCTCCTCAGCAGAGCTGTATTGGTGTGAAGAGGCAACAAACCTTTCAGCTGGCCTCTTAAAGAGCAGTTACAATGAAAGAAAGCAATGTTCTGACTCTGCCCCTTAAGCAGAACGCTTTGGGTCTCACTTCATACCGGAGATGGTATTCAGCAGGTTCTGACCAGTTCTGGAGAACCAGTAGCAGAAATTTTGAGTAGTTCGGAGAACTGGTAAATACCACCTCTGATTGGGCCACCCCCATCTATTCTCTGCCTCCTGAGGCCCAGCTGATCGGGAGGAAACAGTAACCTGCCCCTGGAGTGGGGAGGAAATGAAGATTTTACAGTATCCTTCCCCTGCCATACCCACCAAGCCACATCCACCAAGCCAAGCCACGCCTACCACACCCACAGAACTGGTAGTAAAAAAATTTGAATCCCACCACTGCTTCATACGTGTTTATACATGAAAATCTAAGAGCATCAAATCTTTTTTCTTCAACACCCATAAATGAGTCCCAAACTGTGCAGTTTTCTTAGCCATATTTCTTCAGGGTTCTAGAAAGCTCTTCAAAATCCTTTTTTTAAAAAAAATTATTAGCAAATACACATAAATGTATATACTTTGTTCCTGGAAGGTACATGGACAGGTATCTTTCAGGAGTCAAGTATGGTTTCAGGGGTAGCTTCCTGTTTCTTTCTTTCTTTCTTTCTTTTCTTTTCTGAAGCTGAGAGAGAGTGACTGGCAGCACTAAAACTCAAGGTCTCCCAACTCTTGACAAAGGGATAGACCCCTAATCCTCATGAAGAACCCTGAATTTTAACACTCAATTCCTCTACGTTTTATTAGTTGCTTCCATTATTTACTATCCAAGTAAAGGCTGTGAGATATGTTGTCAATCCCTGAAGGTTCTCTGTTGTACATGCTAAGCTCTTTTTTAAAAAAAAAGTATATCTAAACAATGAACATGGGCCACCTCATACCCTATTCTTCTCTCTGTTGGTCCTCTCACACACAGACATTACAAGAGATCAGATCCACCAAAAGTGGCAAGAGTTTCCCATCATGTCATGATATTTGGCAGGCCAACACTCTGAACAATATTGAGTTGGGACAACCATAAGTTAGCGTGGCCTTGTTTATTTTAGAATCTTACCTTTTAATTGAAAATTCTGGGAACTTTATCTATGGTCTCCTGCAATAAATTGTCTGCCCCTGAGTCCTAAGCTCTGCTACAGCTGGAGTGATAACAGTTTACAGTTGGTTTCTCTAATATACTTGTTTGCTTCGTATTCTGGTTCTAAAAGACAAAATGGAAATTCAAACACAAATTCAAAAAGACCTTCTAAGAGCAGAGACTCTGTAGAACTGACCCAACCTCTGCCATAGCTTCAGGTCCAAAACTGATCCAGCAAGAGATTAAAGATTAAAGGATTCTCTTTTTCTTCTTTTTTCATGGCAAGCATACATTTTGATAACTGCTGAAAACTTGTAATGCTGAATTTGTTTAAAAATCCCCCAGAAAGATTTATTTCTGGCCTTTCATAAGAATCTAAAACTAGTTATATCATCCAATTGGTGTGTCTATTACCTATGCTTTTTGCTGCTCTGCAGTATATTTTAGAGCAGAACAGAGGTGGAAATTAAAATTAAATTGGGATAGCTATTCTTTCTGAGTTCAGTCCTGTATTAAGCAAACATTCAACAGCCTTTGGGATGAAGGACAGGATAGCTACCTGCTCTTTGACTGAGACAAAAAAAGAAAGACCTGTATGAGAAGAAAACAAAAAGAAGTTGTTTTCCAGAGAAAACAACTATTTAATCAGCAACTAGGCAAGCTTATAAAAGTCCAAGAGGAGACATTGCTTGCTGACTCGAAACAAGTTTAATCATGTTTGAAATCTGGCTCTTTACCCAACCATCATTCTTTTGTGAAATTATCATCATTTTTTTAAGTCATTCCTGGAGAACAGTACTTTATTTTGTTATCTCTAAACCGTCCCCACTTCCCCTCTCGCCAAAAGATCAAGCCTTGCCCTTCCAGAGATGCCAAGATTAAGTATGGTTTCAAATGGTCCAGAGTTCATCCGTGCCATCTGGAAGGAAGGAGCCCAAGGCTGGCAGGTTTATAGTATAGTCAAAATTATGGAGAAATCTAGATGGTAGGATAAAAATGCACTTTGTGGCGCGCTGTGGTTGTGCAACCACCACAATTGCATGGATTTCCCCAAGAGGTTTCTGCCTGTTCTGACTATTTAGCAGGCCTCCATCTTCTGAGGATATGTACTTGTTAATTTCATCTGCATCTTTAAAGGACTTTTTATCTACCCTTGGAATGAAGGACAAAGAATGGTGGATTACAGCCCTTGTTTCTTTTCCCTTTTCCTAGTGGAATAAAGCTTGAGGGCCACAGCTTGTTGTGCTCTTTCTGATGTGCTGTCCTTGTCCAAAGAACAGATAAAAGGTTCCAGCTTCCAGGGCAAAATTAGCTGAAGCTCTTTCATAATCAGGATCAAAGGTTGGATCCAGCTTGTATTGCAACCAGTGTTTGACTTGAAAATAATTATGCTCCCAAATCACTGATTTTAACTCCAAAGAAATCATTAGCTAAATCAAAGCTCACATTTGATAAGAGACCAAAAAGTCTTACCACCAGTCCAGTTTTGCACAAACTGCTATAAAGAAAGAGGGAGCCCCAGTCTCTAAATTTTTATTTCTGTGCACTGCTGTAAATTCTCCATGGCCCTAACTTAGCTCTCATTCATATGCATGCAAACATTTACTGCTAATGTCGCATGAGAATAAACCAAGGCTATCCAACCGGTCATTTTGATTAATTAATTATATGTCATTGATTAATTGATTATCTGTCATTGAATTATTATTTTTTTATTCCTAGTGACTATATAAGATACATTTTCTCCACAAAAATGCTGAATAGTTAAAAGATACTGATGCAGGTAAGAATCTGATGACTTGTAAGAGATTTCTGAACTCTGGGCAATCAGATTGAACTTTGTTATTTGTAAAAACTGCTTTGCTGCTGTAGCTTATGTTAGTTTTGGCTGTAAGCATTACCTGCTCCTACAATCATGCTTGGAAATCCTGCTGTCCCCACAATCAATATAATCTGCACTTTCTCAAATTTTAAAAATAAATCTGAAAAAAGTACTTGAAGCAAAGATCCTGCCATATTTCAAGCCTTTACAATCTTTAGAATTTATGATCATTCAGATCTGCTTAGTTTTATCAAGGTGGCTGGTTCATATGAACCCTCTTTTTTTCTCAGTGATGTCTTACCTGCCACTAGGAATGTTCATTCCAGTAAGAACGGAAAAGAGAAGTATTTATGAGAGTCATCTAATACATTTGCCACATTTACTTAAGATAGCTGTGTTTGGAAGGCAAATTTGTTCACACCAGCAATGTCTGCGGCTCATGGAGATTTTTTTTTAATTGAACAGGTGTTTACCCTGCTCCAGAAACCCTAAAATGAAACCACAGAGTGCTATCAAAAGTCCCAGAGACATTTACAAGCAAGCAGGTTCTAGATTTTCATCTCCTAAACAGGTTAATTAGACAATTGCATGCATGTGTAGACATATACGAAAGCATTCTATATTCCGTTCCTCTACACCAGAGTAAGCAATCTGGTGCTGCCACATATTTTGTTTGGCTGCAGCTACAAACTTTTCATTAGCAATACTGAAATACACTGTTCACAGAGTCTAAAACATCTGGAAGATATTGTTCTCTAATTCTGCTGTAACTAATCCAATGGCCTTAACCGGGGAAGATATATACACACAATTTGGGCATCCTGCATATATTCTGGGAAGACAACAGAAAATTATGGAAATCGAAGACATTGTCTTGAGCATAGTAACTTGCGGGGAGATGGTGTGGAGTTGTCTTAAAAGAATTAGATCCCCCCCCCCAAACATTTGTCTTATTCTCTATCAATATGGAAATAAAGTTTAGGATGGAAGTTAAGGAATCAGGCTAGAAACCAGGAGACTGGGAGTTCTAGTCCCACCTTGGGCACAAAGCCATTTGGTGACATTGAACCAGTCCCACTCTCTCAGCCTTTTTGCAAAGTCTTGCCAAGAAAACTGCAGGGGTTTGT